AATCCTGCAGGTATAAATCATACTTTATGTTCAGCCTACTTGCGTCATAAAATCTTACACTTGGGAACTGATTTTTCAGTTTGTTCTTGTGGAAATCAGCTTTCACATGGGCTATGCGACGATCACAGCATGTACGCTGAAGCAGAGCGGCAGCTTCACTGTTTTGTCAATGCAAAATATCCCTATAGACTCATTAAATCAGGGATTCTGATTCCAAGCGACATTGCAACACTGTTGGTTCATAGTAAACCCATATTTTGTAAAATACCAGTGTGTAGACAGACACTCTGTTCTCTCTCGCTCTTTGTTTAACAGATGCTAGACTCTTGAATGCACATTTATCTTACAGTGCCAGCGAATGCAATAGCGGATATTAAATTATTTATTTTTGCAAACAGCAGCAGCAGTACAATAAAAGAGAAACATAAATTTGTGTTATTGTGGCTTATTGTTCTGAGAAGCAACTATTTCTGTGAAGAACAATGTATTTGTATTCTGCATGATGTGCTGTTTGCTTGCAGTATGAAACAAAGCATGAATGAAAAAGCAAATGAAACATAAAGTATGAAGATACTACTGTATCTCTCTTGGCAACCACCGTGTTGCCAATGCAGACATCTAAGTTATGGCATACACTAGGTCTCAATGGCCAGGAAATAGTTTGAGGGTGTTGTGGATATTTAATTAAGATAAGATCGTAGTGTTATTTGTGCAGAGAGAACATCACTGGTTCTCAGTAAATCTGTGTTGAGATAAGATTGTAAAATTATGTGTGCAGAGAAAACGCTCCGGTTACTAACGTAACCTCGGTTCCCTGAGATAAGGGAATGAGCATTGCGTTGACATACTTATGGGGAAACTGTTTACTCTGATACTGAAGTTTGTGTAGCTGCACGAAACCAATTGCTCTTCAATTCGTCAAAAGGGCGTCAGAATCTTTCAACTGAAGCGACTGTAATCGATTCGCATGCAGCCTCATAGCACGGCAGCCTACGCAATGCTCGTTCCCTTATCTTAGAGAACCAAGGTTACGTTGGTAATCGGAGCGTTCCCTTTAAAATGGTCTCTCCTGTTGCGTTGACACGCTTATGGGGAACTCGTCCAATAGCGCCATGCTATAAGCAAGTGCAGAACGAAGCCGCACTGTGAGCCCAGCCCTGGAGCACTCATACTGAGGGCTCCTGTAAGCATGAGCCATTAATGAGACCCAAGCCGTTTAGGCTAAGGACAACATAACATAACCCTCTCCACTTACAAAGGGTATTAGGTAGAATTAAATTAAGCAGAAAAAAATCTGTGCCTGCAGGGCAGGGACATCCAAGTTATAAAACCTGGTGAAGGTAGATGGCGACAACCAGGCGGTGGCCGCACAAATATCACCAATAGAAATCCCGCTGGACCAAGCCCAGGAAGAGGCCATTCCTCTGGTGGAGTGGGCCCTCACATCTATAGGGCACTGCAACCCTGCAAGCCCGGATGCTATAGCCTTGGCTAAGCCAAGAGAGAATGATTCGCCATAATGGCTGCCACACACACTTTGAGCGTGGAAGGGGTGCGCGCCTTATCCAGCATCTCTTGTAGAAAGGTTAGCACGTGGGACACTTCTCAAGAGGACGGGTCCTTGTTCCATGCTGCACACTAGTCAGAGAAGACTGACCATTTAAGGGCATAAAGACAACATGTAGATGGAGCTCTAGCCTCAAAAATTGTATTAGTTACACTCGTAGGGAACTGCAAAGACAAAGGGCTGCCGATAGCAACTAAATCAACTCAGGGAACCACATCTGATTCCTCCAGATTCAGGCCACCAGGAGGACTGAGCATCTGACTTCACTGACCCGTCTGATGACCTGAGGAAGCAGGGCAATCGGGAAGAAGGCGTACAGGCGTACAAAGTAGATTGGGCAGTGAAAATTGTCTTCTGAGGTGAAGAGGTCCACCTCTGCCCTCCTGAAGACAGACCAAATCATTTGAACCATTTGGGGATGTAGTCTCCATTCTCCTGGATTTACATTGTCCCTGGACAGCATGTCTGGCCCCTGGTTCAGTCTGCCCGGCACATGAACTGCTCTCAGTTCTATAAAAGGAGGTGTCGAGCCAACCTGTGAAGGAAGCGTGACCTGAGACCACCTTGGTGATTGATAAAGGCTACCACCGTCATGTTGTCAGAACAGACCAGGATGTGGTGCCCCCTTAAGGCCGGTAGGAAGGTTTTTAGGGGCAGAAAAAAAGCCATCATCTCGAGGTAGTTGATGCTTAAGTGCTGCTCCTGGTTTGACCAGGAGCCGGACACCGGTCTGCCCTCGTGCAGAGCTCCCCAACCCGAGTTGGAGGCATCTGTCATGACCATCTTCCTTCTGGTGGTCAGTCCCAATGGGACGCCTGATTGAAACAGGTGAGAGGTTTTCCAAGGGGCCATGGCTCTGATGCAACGGTGGGTTACCCTGAAATGAAAACGTCCCAGGAGCCAAGCGTGGGATGGGACATGGGCATTGAGCCAGTACTGAAGGGGCCACATGTTGAGCAGGCCCAGAGGAATCACAGAGGAGGCTGCCGACATGAGGCCAAGCATCCTCTGGAAAGCCCTGAGGGGATGTGAAGTCCCTAATTTGAATGACGCCGCTAGTCGCTGAACAGTCAGGGAGCATTCCGGCGTAATCCATGCCCACATTTGGGCAGAATCGATAACTGCCCCCAGAAAGACCACTCACTGGCTGGGAGACAAGGAGCTCTTGGCTAAATTGATTCTCAACCCAAGGCGCTCCAAGTGGCTGAGCAGCGACCTGTGAGTGATGAGTTCCCGTTCTGACCTGGCTAAAACAAGCCAGTTGTCGGATTCTCATCTGTCTCAGAGGGGAAAGAGCGATCAAGAATGGGTCTGAGCCCGCCATCTGTCTTGGGAACGAGGAAATAACGGCTGTAAAAACTTGACTCGCTGTTCGCTAGAGAAATCATTTCCACAGCACCATTTTGCAAGCAGTGTTTGTACTTCAGACCGGAGAACATGAGCATTGTTGTCCCGCACCGAAGTCTGAATAATGCCTCTGAAGCGAGTAACCTTGTTCCATGGTTTTTAAAACCCAACTTGACACATCCGGGATAGATTTCCAAGCCTGAAGCCGGATGACAAGTGATTCTAGTTTTTCGAATGGTAGTTCACCACATGGGGGTGGGGAACTGACATTCATGGTAATGAGGAGAGGAGAAATGCTCTTTTGAGTATGTGGGTCTGCTATCACAGTGTTAATTTGCTTGAGCACAGATGTGCAGCGACCTATTCCAGAGGTGGGAGCTTGCTATTACCTATTTCTTCAGTGCTGTCAACAGTGGTGAGAGCGGTGGAAGTAGAGTGATTAACGCACCGAGTAGGAGCCACGCCACATCCTGGTGAGTTCCTCATGAACTGCCAGCAGGAACGGAGCGGGCCGTTGGCAGGAGGAATGAGGACAGCATCCCTTCAGGTACCACTTGTCAAGAAGGCCGTGGGTGGGCTTTTGCGGAGCCGACCAAGCCAAGCCAATATCCTCTACAGCCCTAGTTAGAAGGCGGATCAGCTCGCTGGGCCGTGTTGTCTGCGTCAGAGGCGGAGTTTCGGGCTTCATTAAAGAAGGCGATCCGCAGGCGGAGAAGGACAAGACTCATGATCTAGCAGTGAGAGCCTGCCATCTCAGTGAGCACAGCCTCTGCATGGGTGCTGCCCAGACAGGCAACACACTCACTGTGTCCATCTGCATCCCCTGCACGAGCCACACTCACGGCATGACATTTGCAACAACATCGCTGGAAATTTGCTCAGAAATTTGCTCTTAGATGTGCCAGATGGCCGCACGGAAAGGCTTTTGGCTTCTTCCGCTGCCGGGGGCTCCTTCTCAGCAGGCTGAGCTGAGCTTCTGGCTTGCAGAGTCAGTAAGGAGATGATCTTCGTCGCTGAAGGAGAAAAATTCTGACAAAATGGCACTCAGAGCCAATTAATATAGAGGTCGGCTCCTCTCCGTTTGGTGGGCTGAAGCGCCATTGGTTCATGCAGCTACACGAACGTGAACAATTCAGGCTTCAGTATCAGAGTAATCAGGAGCTTCCCCATAAGCATGTCAACGCAACGGGAGAGACAGTTCGAAAGGCAATATCACTGTTCCCAGTCTCTAATATTTTGAGAATGTCCGTGTAGATTTCATATGTCATGCTCTCATATAAGGCTTCATGTGTTTCCTAACAATAATTCACAAAGTCATTCTAAAAATAAAATGTGTAATGTTTGAAATAGCTTTGGCATTAGGGCTTTAGCTGAAACTAAATGCCAGCCAGCTATTTTAAGAATGCTATGCTTTTCAAAAGTCTACCATTAATCTAGCCAGAGAACACTGGAGGTTGCAGAGTGGTGTTCCTAAAGAAACTGGTGCTGCTTTTTCTCTTGTTTACTACGCCTGCATGGTCAAAGAGTAGATGCTCTTGGAAAAAAATACTGTTTTCCTCAATATTTTGCTGTTGCTGTTGAGTATTTCGATCCATATTTATATGTGACAAACAATATAGGCACTAGAAATGACAGTTGAGTCATTTAAACTTTTTATGAAGAATAAAATGAGTTATTCTAATTAAATTGCTATTAACTTTAGTGAAAGTTTATAAGCATAAACTTGTGTACATTTTAATTTTCCAACATTTACTTGTCATATTCTGTTTTTGTGTTTTTAAAAAGTTAAAAATATTAAACAGATTTAAAAATGTGCATGGACAAAGGTCTATTCTGCACTTCAGTTTTTTTTAGAGAATGCCACAATTGTACTCCGGGATCACAGCTGGCTGTCAAAAGCTGCCTTTTATACTGACTGCCTCTTCACACAGTGGACGTTTTTTCTCAGTTAATATCTGGTAATATCCAGACACATTAATATATATAGTTGGGCTGTTGGCCAGACACATTAATATATATAGTTGTGTATATATACTGTATATACATATCCAGTAACAATGTATGCATCAATAAATGTAATCTATGCCTAAATAAATTGTTTTTGTTCAAGCAAACTAAAAGATCTGTCCAATAGTGTCTGTTCACTGTCAACAAACCTATACCCAAAAAGTTTCATGGTCGGTCCACAAACTTTCTGTACAACTTGGGCCAGTTTGAATGGTATACTAAGCCGCCATTTCTCCACCTGTTCTGAAGAGTTTTTTTGGGTGGAATACACGCCACTTGCTTCGGTTGATGAATGCGTGTTTTTGAGAATCCAATCTCGTGCTTGTGTCATCATTGGAATCCCTGTGAAATTGTACATTTCTGCTGCTTTCTGCATGGGGTACCTGGCTATATCCTCGTAACGTACTAGCATATAACGGTTTTTCAGCCATTTCGGCTGACTTAAGCCCAACTCGGCAGAGATGCGGATATTGTTACAGTTTCCTTCAAGACGTTTGACCTCTTCGTCCTCTATAGGAACATCCCCATTCACAGCCCAACTTTTCCAGTTCTGGTACTTTCTGGCAAAGGCCACCATCCTTGATGCAAGGATAGCTCGAGGGTCTCTAACCAGCTGAATGAGTTTGATATCCAACCGAGGGTCCTCTACTAGAGAACGAAGTGTGTCTAATTGTCGGACCCTCACTGTTTTGATCACCCTGTCGAATGGTAGTTCACCACATGGGGGTGGGGAACTGACATTCATGGTAATGAGGAGAGGAGAAATGCTCTTTTGAGTATGTGGGTCTGCTATCACAGTGTTAATTTGCTTGAGCACAGATGTGCAGCGACCTATTCCAGAGGTGGGAGCTTGCTATTACCTATTTCTTCAGTGCTGTCAACAGTGGTGAGAGCGGTGGAAGTAGAGTGATTAACGCACCGAGTAGGAGCCACGCCACATCCTGGTGAGTTCCTCATGAACTGCCAGCAGGAACGGAGCGGGCCGTTGGCAGGAGGAATGAGGACAGCATCCCTTCAGGTACCACTTGTCAAGAAGGCCGTGGGTGGGCTTTTGCGGAGCCGACCAAGCCAAGCCAATATCCTCTACAGCCCTAGTTAGAAGGCGGATCAGCTCGCTGGGCCGTGTTGTCTGCGTCAGAGGCGGAGTTTCGGGCTTCATTAAAGAAGGCGATCCGCAGGCGGAGAAGGACAAGACTCATGATCTAGCAGTGAGAGCCTGCCATCTCAGTGAGCACAGCCTCTGCATGGGTGCTGCCCAGACAGGCAACACACTCACTGTGTCCATCTGCATCCCCTGCACGAGCCACACTCACGGCATGACATTTGCAACAACATCGCTGGAAATTTGCTCAGAAATTTGCTCTTAGATGTGCCAGATGGCCGCACGGAAAGGCTTTTGGCTTCTTCCGCTGCCGGGGGCTCCTTCTCAGCAGGCTGAGCTGAGCTTCTGGCTTGCAGAGTCAGTAAGGAGATGATCTTCGTCGCTGAAGGAGAAAAATTCTGACAAAATGGCACTCAGAGCCAATTAATATAGAGGTCGGCTCCTCTCCGTTTGGTGGGCTGAAGCGCCATTGGTTCATGCAGCTACACGAACGTGAACAATTCAGGCTTCAGTATCAGAGTAATCAGGAGCTTCCCCATAAGCATGTCAACGCAACGGGAGAGACAGTTCGAAAGGCAATATCACTGTTCCCAGTCTCTAATATTTTGAGAATGTCCGTGTAGATTTCATATGTCATGCTCTCATATAAGGCTTCATGTGTTTCCTAACAATAATTCACAAAGTCATTCTAAAAATAAAATGTGTAATGTTTGAAATAGCTTTGGCATTAGGGCTTTAGCTGAAACTAAATGCCAGCCAGCTATTTTAAGAATGCTATGCTTTTCAAAAGTCTACCATTAATCTAGCCAGAGAACACTGGAGGTTGCAGAGTGGTGTTCCTAAAGAAACTGGTGCTGCTTTTTCTCTTGTTTACTACGCCTGCATGGTCAAAGAGTAGATGCTCTTGGAAAAAAATACTGTTTTCCTCAATATTTTGCTGTTGCTGTTGAGTATTTCGATCCATATTTATATGTGACAAACAATATAGGCACTAGAAATGACAGTTGAGTCATTTAAACTTTTTATGAAGAATAAAATGAGTTATTCTAATTAAATTGCTATTAACTTTAGTGAAAGTTTATAAGCATAAACTTGTGTACATTTTAATTTTCCAACATTTACTTGTCATATTCTGTTTTTGTGTTTTTAAAAAGTTAAAAATATTAAACAGATTTAAAAATGTGCATGGACAAAGGTCTATTCTGCACTTCAGTTTTTTTTAGAGAATGCCACAATTGTACTCCGGGATCACAGCTGGCTGTCAAAAGCTGCCTTTTATACTGACTGCCTCTTCACACAGTGGACGTTTTTTCTCAGTTAATATCTGGTAATATCCAGACACATTAATATATATAGTTGTGTATATATACTGTATATACATATCCAGTAACAATGTATGCATCAATAAATGTAATCTATGCCTAAATAAATTGTTTTTGTTCAAGCAAACTAAAAGATCTGTCCAATAGTGTCTGTTCACTGTCAACAAACCTATACCCAAAAAGTTTCATGGTCGGTCCACAAACTTTCTGTACAACTTGGGCCAGTTTGAATGGTATACTAAGCCGCCATTTCTCCACCTGTTCTGAAGAGTTTTTTTGGGTGGAATACACGCCACTTGCTTCGGTTGATGAATGCGTGTTTTTGAGAATCCAATCTCGTGCTTGTGTCATCATTGGAATCCCTGTGAAATTGTACATTTCTGCTGCTTTCTGCATGGGGTACCTGGCTATATCCTCGTAACGTACTAGCATATAACGGTTTTTCAGCCATTTCGGCTGACTTAAGCCCAACTCGGCAGAGATGCGGATATTGTTACAGTTTCCTTCAAGACGTTTGACCTCTTCGTCCTCTATAGGAACATCCCCATTCACAGCCCAACTTTTCCAGTTCTGGTACTTTCTGGCAAAGGCCACCATCCTTGATGCAAGGATAGCTCGAGGGTCTCTAACCAGCTGAATGAGTTTGATATCCAACCGAGGGTCCTCTACTAGAGAACGAAGTGTGTCTAATTGTCGGACCCTCACTGTTTTGATCACCCTGTGCTGTTTTCCTAGGCAGACCTCTGACGCCAAGGTCAGATTGAGAGGCCCGCAGCGTCTTGTCTTGCAGTGGTACCTCTCAAAAACATCTTTTACAACCGGAGAGCAGACTTGCTCCTCGCACAGGGCCTTGCTGGACTCTCTGCGGAACAGGGCAGGGGTGACGTGGTCCTGAGGAGGAGGGCTGATGAAGTGCTCCAACATGGAAAAGTTACACAAAAAGAGATGCTGTAGGACATCCCTGTACACCCAAACAGAAGTACTGGTATTTGTGCCACTCGAGCCAATCGATAGCATTCTCTCCACATGCCAGAGTGGCTCAAAGAGGTAAAACATGTTGCCACCCTGTTGGTTGAAGAACTCGCCCACGAAGGAAGATCCTGTACGAGTGGTAGCCATCAAGAGGATGTGCTTTCGGCCTGCCTGAATGCCGTTCTCAGCAAACATGTCCTCTGGATAGGAACCATTGTCGTCCATTAGTACCAGAGCGCTTGAAGCATTGTAGGGCACTGGAGGCTCCGTCTGTGGGCTCCGTCTAAGTGTCAGCTTGTCTGAGACCCTGTATATTTTAAAACGAAGTAAAATTTACATTTTAAAAATCCATTTCAATAAATATTTGTATTTTTGGGGTGGCATATTTTTAGATAATCCAAAAATTCTCACCTTGAAATAATGTTGTTTTCTTTTTCAATGATGACAAGTGCCACAATGCAGATAATGATGACTGCATACTTGTTCCTCATTCTCAAATTAACTTTGATATAGGAAATGCCTCCACAGACTGCAAATTAGGCACTGCTGCCAACTGTTTTGGGTTCATCTCATGTCAGAAACTAGGTCTACAATTCATCTGCAATAAACAAAATCAAGACAAGAGTTTTCGCACCATTTCCACACAGACATAAAACTCACTAACACACCAGCCCTATGTATTGATTCCAAGTGGTGACATATTTATACCGTTTGGCACAGGGTATTATAAGCAGACACAGACAATTTCAGCTTTGTTCCCAAACAAGCGGCCTGCACTGTCATCACCTGTCCAGTAATTCCACTAATGTGGAATGATGAGAGATGATGAGGTCCACAGAACACAGCGTCTCTCTTTGGTAACTGCTTACTGTGGATCATGATGAATCATCGAAAAGTAGCACTTTTTTTATGATTAAATATATTATTATATAATATTATTATACAAAGTATTTACATTGCTGTTCAAAAGTATGGAGTCAGATAGGTTATTTTTTCAATATTTTAGGAAGAAGTCTCAAATGCTCACCAAGGCTGCATTTATATGATCAAAAACAGTAATATTTTAAAATATTATTACAATTTTAAATACATGTTTTCTATTTTGATATATTTTAAAATTTAATTTATTCCTGTTATGGCAAAGTTGAATTTTCAGCAGCTATTACTATAGTCTTCAGTGTCACATGATCCTTCAGAAATTATTCTAATATGATGATTTGGTTTTAAAAAGTTGTGCTGGTTAATATTTTTGTGGAAACTGTAATAAAAAAAAAGTCAGTACCCTTCAATGAATATCAAGTACAAAAGAACAGCAAAGGACCAGCATTTATTTGAAATATAAATTTTTTTAACATTATAATTACCTTTATTGTCACTTTTTATCAATTTAATGCATTCTTGCTGGATAAAAGTATTTATTTCTTGTAAATAAAAAAGCTTACTGACCCCAAATTTTGAACAGTAGTCTATTTTAATAACTGTAATTATTAAATATAGAAATAAAAATTACCAAAATATTTATTTTAAATGTTAAATATTTTAAGTGATAAAAATGTAATCAGAATGAGACTGGAGTGATTTTCAAGCTTCACCACAAAAATAAAATAAAATAAAAGTAAACTCATAGATCCTAACTTAGTAGCTAATGGTTCTGCCTCTATAACCCACAGTCAGAAGGAAATTACATTTCCTATTGCAGCAAGTTTGTAATGCTTTCATTAAATCTTGGAAGCCACATGGTGTGGGCAGAGTTTTGTTTGTTTGACAAGGAACCGTTTTCATTTTATGAGAGTTAAGTATACAGTTTGTAATGAACAATTGGGTCAGTGTCCTCTAAACATTGTTTCAAATCATCTGTTGTAGCATTTCTTTAATATACAACATTTCCATCCATCTTAGGAAAGCTACACTGATACATTGGTCTGCCCTTTCACCAAGGTTTCAGGACCTCTGAATTCCACAAGCCATTTGTTCACTGTAGCCATGTGTTGTCGAGGAAGTTTTTGTTTACATGTTTAAATAAACCCTTGTTTTGAGGTTATAAGAATTTCATCTGATTTTTTTCTTAACCAAAGTTATATCACTAGATTTAAAACTCTAAATAGTTAGAGATTTGAATACAGAGGTTTAAATAGGCTAATGTCTGTTTTAAGGAAAGTATTAATGCATATAGCCTATAACAGACTCTTTATTGAGTATAAAAGCTCCTGTTTCCTAAGGAAAATGGTACAGGAACAACACCATTACAACACTACAAATACATTGGCCTGTTGTGTTGGAACTAAACCAGTAGCTTTAGGGCATGTTTGACCACAGATAACCCCACCGAATGGCTGAGGTAGGTGAGCT